CGCAACCCTGCCGCGCGCGCACGCTCAGCGGCGGGCCGGCCGCGGCGCGCCCCGCCAGCCCATAGCCTCACGTCGTCATTGGGCCGTTTGTGACCTTACGCTTCAAGATACGGCAAAACGGACGAAATTTCTGCCCTAAAAGGGCCGTAACTTGCCATTTTCCTTCAGAATTGATGTGTCGCTTGCCAAAATTTTTGAATTTTGGGTTTAGGCCCTTTAGGCCCTTTGAGGCACGGGTTAAAATTGTTTTAAAATTTTTTCCTTTTAGGGGGTTCATTTAGAGACTACATAGAAACTTTTTAGGGGTTGACCAACTTGATTTTCGCAAAACTCAAAAATAAGGCACACCCTAGGGGGAGCCTTATGGAAGAGCTGCATTTCCACTGAATTTTTCTCCTAAACAGACGCAAAATCTTACATTTACACTAAAAAATTTTGACCTTTGGAAATTTTTCAGCTAGATTTTCAGATTTCACGCTAATTGGATGGCATTTTGCAAAAAGGAACCAAGAGCATTCCAATGTTGCTAGGATTGTGCAACTTACAATCTTTGCAATAAAATTACCGGAATCGTGCAAAAAATTAAATTGACCAAGATAATTTTTCTATTGACTTTGTAGTTGATTGGGAGTAAAATTATAACTTGTTTAGATTATCAGTCTATATTTCCAAGATAAAAAGAGTTGCACAATCTTAGCAACATTGAAATGCTCTTGGTTCATTTTTGCAAAATGCGATCCAATTTCTCAAAAACCCGACGTGGGGCCCCAAAATGAGCCGCGAGAAGAAACAACCGCGACCAAGTTCCCAACGGACCGGAGGCGGTGAGGGGGGCGCGCGCGGATGTTCAGATTTCGGGCGGCGTGACTCTCACTGCGCGGCGCGGTGGCGGAGAGCAGGAATGGCACAACGGCGGCGCAGCAGCCGCGGGAGGGGCGCCAGGGAGGGTCGGGGCGGGGGTGCTCGTCGGGAGCGCTCCGGATGCACTCGCACTCGTCGCGCCGCGCCACGTCGAGCTTGTCGTATCACATGGCCAGCAGGCGCACCCAGCCATGGAGACGCTCGAGCTAAACGTAGGCGGAGTGTACTACACTGTGTCCGCGTCCACGCTCGCCCAGGACCCGGAATCCACGCTCGCCCAACTCGTCCAGTCGCCGACGGCCCCGCGCGACTCCAAGAACCGCGTCTTCGTCGACCGCGACGGTGTGCTCTTCCGCTATGTCTTAGACTTCCTGCGCAATCGGAAACTGGTGCTTCCGGAGAACTTCCGCGAGAAGGACCGGCTCGCCCAGGAGGCGGCCTTCTACAACCTGCCCGCTCTCGTCGACGCCGTCCAGAGCCGGAAGAAGTCGTCCGGCTACATCACGATCGGCTACCGCGGGAGCTTCGCCTTCGGCCGCGACGGGCTCGCCGACGTCAAGTTCCGGAAGATCACGCGGATCCTCGTCTGCGGCCGCGTGACCCTCTGTCGGGACGTCTTCGGAGAGACGCTCAATGAGTCTCGGGACCCGGACCATGGGTTGACCGACCGCTACACGGCCCGCTTCTTCCTCAAGCACTCCTCCATCGAACAGGCCTTCGACATGCTCCAGGAGCAGGGCTTCTACCTCACCGGTAGCTGTGGCTCGGGCACCGCCGGTGGGACCTCCGCCCAGGATCTCAAGCCTGGTGTTGATGCTGAGGAGAGCCGCTGGAACCACTACAACGAGTTTGTCTTCTGCCGGGATTAAACGTCAAACTTCACGAATCCAAAGACGAAGTTTTTCCCCCCATCCAACTCGTCCTGTTGTTATGAAGGATAACATTATGTGGATCGTTCTTTTGAATGGGAGGATGTGCACATTAACAGCCGCGAAAGGTAAAAACTAAGCATGGAATCCAGAGATATAGTTTTTTCCCCTCCGTAACCTCTGCCCGAAGCCGTGAATCATTCTTGGGATGGCTCGTTTTTTTTGCAAGGATGTGTAAATTTGCAGCCGAGTAGGTTCTCCAACTCGTCACATCATTTTTCTGTGATACGGTCGATGAATACCGTCTCAGTGTGCGGTGCCAGTGTTATATCATTTCCAGTAGAGAAAAAGAACGCTGAATTTGGAGGTTCCTATAATATTTTCTCTCCGATCGTGAGTGTGTGAGCTGGAATTAAAACACCCGGTTTCTATGTAAGCTTAAATACCGACGAGTTATTTAACGGTGAGAAGAAGTGCTTTTATCGCACCTCCTGATTTTGAAAATCCGAGTGATTAAAGTGCCGTGGATTCTGCCTCTATTCACTGCCCGTGTGTCGCCACGAGAACTGACTTCTTGGATAACATTCTATTGAAAGTTCTCCAATGTGTGTATAAAAGGTAGGTGTACGTCTACAGCCAAGCAAGTTACCAAAATCTTCTCATCGTGTCCCTGTGAACCTGTTGGTGAATTGAGTCATCCTATGTGGTGTCAGTATTGCATCATCTCTAGTTAGAAGAAAGGACGTTGCATTGGAAACTGTTATACATTGATGCACTTGAATCTGTGAATTCGAATAGTCTCCAGAGCCTCTAGACCCTCTAGACAAATAAACTTTAAAAAAGAATTGAAAATACATACTGAAAAAATGTATCGGCTCCTAGAAAACCCTTGAAAGTTTTAGAAAACCCGACTAACTACCGTATAAGTCAGTGTTTTAAGCTCTAAGCCATGCGATCTTACTGTCCGATAATTTGACTGGATTAAGTCGAGAGGAAGCAAGCCACATTTACGGTGAAAAAAATAATTTTGGAGGGCTTCCATAAGTTTAACTGACAATAAGTTTTCCTTTTTCAAAATGTTCAATTCAGCGTCTAGAATATCCATTCTGAATAGTAAAACAAGGATTATACTGCATCTTTAGCAGTGAATCTGAAGGAGAAATAAAATTTCGAAGCTCGATTGCAACATGTTTGTGGCTTGGTTACTCCATGCTTATCTCGACTCTAGTCAGGTATTAATTTTGAAAAGGGAAAATCTCCTCCATTAGTTTGGAATTTACTTTTGAAAGGAAATAAGATTGCCATGAGATGGCGCATTCACCCTAAAATTTCTGAAAAATCACAAGGGTGGCGTGAAGATCCGTACTTGTCGAAGTGACTGCTTCAATTATGCTGTGAGTTTGAAATCAGCATTTTAATTCGATAATGGGTTAAAGATTTTTAAAGAGAGCAGTGTCGTTAGAGGTAAAAGTGGCTTCCAAGAACTTCGATCCGTAACAAATGATAAACTATGCCAAAAATGATGATCGGCATAAAATGGTTGCAGACAGAGCATATAAGAATCGCGCGGAAAATTGGTTGGAACTATTTAGAGCTCATCTTTTCAGGACGAACCCTGGTTTAGAAAAACGATTTTGCATCATTGTGAGAACATGATATTCATAGAGAGAGCGAAGAAACATGCCGGAAAAGAGTCTCTCTCTTTTTTCTTTAATTTTTTTAATTTTCATCACCAATAAAAACAAGAAGATTACTTTTAAACTGATACGGGTGGGCTATGTTCTTTTTTAATTTATCAGATTTTTCTTTTTTCGTTTCAGAGCATTTAATGTTTAAAAAAAAATTCCCCCTCGTTTAGGAATTTGAATTTGAATCTCCCTTCCTGTTGCATTTATTAAATTAAGTTTCAAAATTGATTCTTCCTCCCTTGATGTTGAGGAATATTTTGAGGGAAAGTTGTGGAGAGTAAATAAACCATTTTAGCTGCAAATACTTTAACAACAACACATTTTGACACTTTAAGGATTTCGGAAGAAAGGTGCCCGAATCACCCGACTTTTATTACGTCGATCAAATTAATGTACTTGTTGTAGTATGGTGACCTAGATGAAGATCTGACTGGCTGAATAAAAATTCTTCGATTATTGGACATCGTTCTCTGCAATATATTGCAGATTGTAAGGCATATTTATGTTACTAAATATGTAGTATAAAAAATCTACTCCAATGAGAGAAAAACATAGGTAGATCTGCAGAGTTTAGGTATAGTCTCTTGAGGTTCTGCCTAAACTCTATGGTTCTATAGTCTATTTTTTTCGGTGCTCTAAATAGTCGATAAATTTTAAAAAAAATTAAAATCTTAAAAGTCCCTCCTCTGCCTTTATCATTTTTACCAAGAGATTATTATTATTTCTTCCCGGAATAATTATGATGATTTATGTAATGATTTAAACAACTCTTGTTTCGAAATAAATAATAGAAACTTGACGGCAGCCTTGTTTGGGTGAGCCGTTGTTTTTCACTTTTATTAGGTCTAGCAGTATCATGATTCCAAGTTTCCTCTGCACAGTATAATAAAGGCAGAAACAAAATTAGAAACGTTCCTCCTACCAATGCACTTAAAAATAAAGAAAATTGAAAGTTGAAGCAAACTTTCCAAGAATGTCACTACACCACTCCTGTTAATGTTATTGTTTTTAAGTCTGATTACTTTTGGACAAAAATCGAGCTTTCTTCTAAAGTTACCTATCCTCCTTTTGATATAATTTGAACATTTTCTTTTCTGTTTCTTGCAAAAAGACAAATCGGAAGAATTGACACACTGCTTGAGGTGTGTTTGTATTGACTGACAACTGAAGCAATAATCAGCAAGAATCGCCATTTAATTTCTCTTTTAAGGCTCTAAATCCGACGAATCTTTATTGTAGATATTATAATTCATCTGTCTCCTCCACTTTATGTTTACTCGTCGATTTTTAATAATTCTTTTTGTTTCATTCTCTCTCTCTCTCTCTCTTTTTTTTTTTTTTTTTTTTTTTTTTTTTTTTTTTTTTGCTGATTGCTTCACTTAAGACTAAGGTATTTATCAATTGGAACTTTCTTGAAAGTAAGGAATTTATTTCGATTACTTGTTTTAAAGTGATATTAACGTATAACTGAAAAATTATCATTTACTTAGTGACATAGGAATCTTTTATTAGCCTGTTTTTCTTTTTATAGTAGCGTGTAAATATATCGTTCGAATATTGTTTTAGAGATAATTATTAATAATATGTTGAAATATGTACTTGAAATAATGTTATGTTGATCAAAATATAGTGATATTCTTGCGGTAAAAAGCTACTTGTTTGTTATTGTGAAAGAAAATACAAGAATGTGAGATAAACGATTCAGGAAAACAATTTACAGCGAAAATTTTGTCTACCAGTTTTACCTTAAGTCCAGAGATTGAAAAAAGGTGCAGGATCTATTTATATTCGCCTCCGAGCAAAAACTGTATGATATTACAGTAACATTAGACATTTTAATTACTCGAGCAAAATTTGATTGGAGGCCTGTAATTTTATTTTTATTCGGGGGTGAAATTCTACAAAAAAATACTGCCAAATTTCTCAGAATACCTGTGTCGTTAACAAAAAGATTATTAGATGAAACATGATCGAATCGAATAATGATTTAGAGGCAAAGCACTTCTCAAAAACTACTTGCCATTCTTGGTCTTGTGTAAATGAATATTTTGCATTTGGTTTCTCAAATATTTTATGAAATGTTCCACCTTAAAAAGCTGACATGATTAATGAGCGTGCACTGACCAATCAAAAATTCGCAGATGGGCTATAGAGAACCAAACTTTACGGAAACGAGAGGTCCACCTATTGCTTCTGATTGACACTATACTCCATAAAATTCAATTTTAATCAATGGACACTTGGCTCCCTTTCTCCGTTCACCATTGCTTCTATTTTAAAATCTAAAGTGGTACTTATGACTCTTGGTCCCTGCTTTGATCCCTCCGTTTTTCAATTGACCCCTATTTTGGTTAAAAGATCCGGTTAAAATTATCAATACCGAAATATAATTTTCTGCCAAGAATAAACAGAAAAATTAGTTTGGCTCATTGATTGAGACTTTGAGTATCAGAATGTTTTATATCAGAATGAAATATACGAATTTTGCCAGTTACTTCTTCAACAAGCAAGTACCACCTCGCCTTAAAGTTGGTTTTTTCTGCTATATCGGCGCCTTTCTGTCGTGAGAACGTACCTCAATTTCTACGTGAGCCCTGTTTTACATATAAATTCACGTTTTCGGGGGCTCATACGGAAATCACGATACGCCCTCATGTCTGATAGGCAATGATATGCCACCCATATTGCGTCTTAAATACCCACATTTTTTCCAACGAACTAACCCACGAAAAACGTCGTATACATTCATATAATACTCTAAAATCATTGTAAAGGATACTAATCAACCTAATGCCGCACGTGATGAATTTTTCGATGAGTCGAGGCTGATAGTCTAATGCATGCTGGCAATGCAAGTTCTATACTTTGTCTTTCATTTATTAAAATCGAATCTAACCTATACTTCGAATATTTTTATTTTAAACCCACACGGACAAGGAAGAATGTTAGTGGTCGCCAGATTCTGAAAAAATATCTCAGGCGAGAGGCCAAAGAAACGTGACTAAGACTGTTGGAAAAATCGAGTTATTTGCATTCTCAACATACATTTTATGTGTGAAAAAACAAATTACTAGAATCTAATACTAAGCTCAAGATACAAGATGTTTAAATCTGCGAAATACACTGCAGGCAATGAAAATGTCGCGAAGTTTTCCACTAATAGTTTTTTGAATCGGTGAAAATGTGGTTACGGTTCTTCGGCCTTTTACTCCAGAGATAAGTTCCCCGGTTTTTCCAGGAATTTGTCAGTGTTCATCATGTGGCTTGTTAAGGTTACCAGCCATGTTTTAGGTGCAGTCAGAAATGAAGCACTGGCTACTTTCAATCCTAGAAATCACTTATACCTAATTGGACGTATTGTTGTTAAAAGGAATCATGCGCAAAGGGTTTGCGGGCAACATAGTTCCTTGTGGCATCAATAAGTCCTACTAATAATATAGTATCCACTAATATTCTTTTTTATCCGTGCAGACCCCTTCTTTCAAGTTTGATTTACATTGTTTCTGTCTATAATAGCTTCATCACTCGATAAAGCGCAGAGCTATTCTTACATACATAAAGCCGCTTTCACAGCGCAGGAAAGCCGCAGGGCTATTCTTCCATTTTATTAAAGTCGAGCCAATGTACAATATTCCTTAATTAATGAAACACGGAATCAATTCTTTTTTACCATATCAGTACACCAGAACCAAAAGTTGCATAACTCCAATTTATTATATTCGAGATATTAGGGGAAAACTACGCGCCGGCCCCATTGATCCCAATTCCAATGTAACTGAAGATTTTGTAACTCCGTATCTCATAACCGGCGTAAGGTAGGGCTACCAAATTTTCCACACACACGGAACTGTTAATGGCTATTTTGCAAACGCCAGTGACTAGCTTTTTCCAAACATGTGAGTTAGATACATTTCGCCTTTGGGGTACTGATATTGATAATTAATTGGAGCAAATCAAAACTAGTCGGTGACCATTGAATCGACTGAATTTCTCCTAAAGATAGACTATAATATGGACTAAATTTTGCAATTTGGAACTATAAAGTCTAGCCCGGTCTAAAAACAACGTATGTGTCATTAGTTTCCCTATGCACATAAGTGTTTTTCCAGAAGAGCCAAAATGTATAGTTCCAAATTGCAAAATGTAGTCCATATAAACGATTCAACTGTATTTTCCTGTCAGCACCAACATCAATGAGGCGTCTGGTTCAAATCATTATTCTTTAGTTTCATGTACTAATTAAACATGCAAACAGTTCAGTGAAAACCAAACATGCATGCAGTCTTTGGTTTCGTATATTTTAATCTCTCTATGCACCTTTCCGGCTAGCTCAGATATAGGGAACTCGGATTTTTCGATAGGTAAACACCGATGTGAGGGGAATAAAACTTGGCTCTCAGCCAGCGTATTAGCGCACTGAGCCCTGAAACCGTGAAATTGCTATTAGTTGTTGCCAATTTTTTAAAACGGTATGATTTATTACTAGATTCAGATCCAGATTTAAACCGATGAAAAAAGTCATGGAAGTGTCGTGGACGTTCATCTTCATGGCTTGCGCTCATGAATAAAAGGTAAAATCGATTCCTAAGCTCTTGCCATGTTGCAGAAATTGACAAATTTTACGAGAGAATAATCAAAATTGAAAAATAAAAGTCCTGTCAGCTGAATATTCTATTGCCACCTAGATTGGTGCCTTTTTACGTGCTGATGAGTTTGCAAACTGACGTGAATTTTCGCGATTGGACATTTGCGCTGTTTACAGAATCGTGTTGTAACCCTCACTATGCCCAAGCCGGGTAAAACTGAACGTATTTATGCTAAAAAGAACTATGTGCATAGGGTTTGCGTATAACATGGTTTCTTTTAGCATAAATACGTCCAACAGACCCGCGGCTTTGCGAATTGTTGAAACTGCGATGAAAAAAGAAGAAAAAAATAGAGTGTCAACACTTCTGGATGTGTAGGAGAGACGTATTCGGGCCTCTTTTCTTAACTCTTCGCCCGAATACAAACGGCACTTCACTGGTAGCATAGAGCGGAGCGTTGCGAGTTCACGCCTCGCGCCTGAGCGCCTTCAATTTTGCAGACGCAACACGGACATCCATCAAGTACGAATAGTTGTATCTCTGCGCCGTCATCAATGCGCGTCCTCTCCCTTGCTTTATTTTCATGTTGTGTTGCTTCCGTTGGTCTTATTTTTGTAGTGGTGCTTCAAGGATTACGTGAACAACTCAGCCGAAGATAAGAGGGCGTAATCGAGCCTCGTTTTATAACTTTTACCAAACTCCAAATTTACTAGACCTTACTCATTTTGGACCGACATATTTGATGAATTTAAAAAAAGAACTAAGACATGAAACAAGTCTCCCTCAAAATTTGACTTTTCCACTCGAAAAATTCCATTAACCCGAGCAATTCAACCAATCTGATAAGTTCCTCCATTTTTTGTGACCGGGTCGCATAGGTCACTTGGCCGCAGAGGGAATCCAGGTGAGCGCTGGATAGATGACATCCACAAAAAAAAATGGCTAGATGCCAACTTTTGGGAAATTCTACCTCGACAGATTTCATCAGCAGTTCAGTTTCACTAAGTGCCCAAGTGCGCTATCCATGCACCGTCTACATTCAGATACAGGCTGATTATTGAAATTTATAAGCAAAGTGATACACATAGAAGACGACGATTGAAATTGAAGCGATTCTATTGGTTGAAACGGGTGGCTGTCACAGACTTAGAGAGAAAATGATGGTACAACAACTATAAGCACCCTAGTGAACTGCTTACTTCCATTACTTACATCCTTAGTCAATTTTATAAGCACCTGTGTCCTCTCCAGTTCTTAACTTTACTGTTTTCTGACTTAATTTTACGAATGAAGGGGTGAGGTGTCAGCTTTGCGTCATTTTAAAGAAAAGTGTATGGTTGCATG